CATAGTGAGTGATATGATTCATTTTGGTAAAATATGAAGTAATTATTTTGGCCCATTGCACTATGTTTTTATAAACATTTGATTTTGTCACATATTTTGTAGTAACTCATAGTCAGCCTTGGTGGTAGATTTGATATCTAGTCAATATCTACTATCGGCGCACATCACGTTTCGGATCCATAGGGTGATTCAGGACGGGTCGTGTCATGACTTGGTTGCTAGCATCGATTCATTTCCTTGGTGGCACCTCCATGAAGGTCTTAATGTGTTTTTGATACCAAATGATGTAGGATATTGCCACAATTTTATCCAAAAGCTATAGCTCATGGCCCCTTTTCCCTTATTAATGGTAATATTTGGGATCTTTCTTTGTAACCAAAACTTCTAGAGAAATTAATTTATAACCTACTAATAGGAGTATTTATACACTTATTTGGACCAAAAAATATAAATATTTAATAGTTCTTTTGAACAATTATAGCTTAATTTATTTTATATTTCATTTATTAGGTAAAACTTGATGAATGGAAGTGAAATTAAAAGAAAGAAGCGAAAATTGGCAAAAGGGCTAAAATGTAAGATATCCAAAGTTTGGAGACTAAACTGTAAGTACTCAAAAGCTGTATCGGACCTCACAATGAAAATTCAAGGGTGCCAGGAGTCAATTGGATAAAGAAAAAGGTCAAAGGAATAAAATATAGTCAATGTATGATCACACATCAATTTTCAACTGAAAAAAATTATGCTTCCGATTTTTAGTCTCATATTAAGACCCATTTTTGATATAGCAAACATTCGTATTGGAAAATAATATCAGAAGAAAGTTGTAGCCTTTGAGTTAGTTTTTCAACGCACTTTTGAATGGCCTCAATCGGATATCAAGAAAAAATGTTATGATAAAAGACTGAATATTGTGCTGTGCAACCGAAGCTAACGACAGTGCTCAAGAGCCACATTGCTGAATTTTTTCTCGAAGTCAGCTCCCAAGTGCCCAGTTGCAGTGCCTAGGCGCTATGCCGCATACAATTACAATTTTCCAGTTTGATTCGTCTTTTAAAAGCCCAAGTTCAATCAAACTCTTTCAATGACTTAAAGGTTGAATAAATATCAATCTAGAGACCACTTTCGAAGAAGAATTCAATCGAACAAGAAGAATTCCACACAATTTGGGGAGAAAAAAATACATAATCATCAAGATCAAAGACCAAAAGCTAGTGTTTGAAAACTTTTGAGGTTTAAGAAAATTCTTGGTGTAAGATTCAATTCTTTCCATGATCAAGATTTCAAAACCTAATTATGAATTCCATACATTTGTTTTTTTAATCATTATGAGTAGCTAAATTCATATCCAGGGTGAACAATGTGATCTATGTATAACATTTATTTCTTTTATTCAATATTCTAGTTCTTTAAATGCACACGTGTCGATTTTATTCATGGATTTAATGTTTTGAATTCTCTGGTTAATTATTCAATGATTTTGTGAATCTATTGCAAATCAAGAGGTGAGTTTTAGATTTAAACCATATAGTAAAATCGATAATTTAGGATAACGTGTAAAAATACATATACTAATTATTATGGTCGATAGATGGATTCTTAGAACTAATATTTCGTTTAACAAAAATTGATTTGTATAGAAATATGTGATTGAATTACTTAAATATGCTCAATAAGAAATCGAAGGATAAATTGAATACTTTCGAAGAACTCGACCGAACATTACAATTGTAATGAATCTTGTTTGACAAATTAAAGGAGATCCATAGGTAAAATTGCAAGTCCTAACATCCATATTCACACTTGTAAAACCCAAATTCAATAAAATTGTGTACTTTAGATCGTTTAGTTTAGTTAGAATAATTTAGACACCAATCACAAAACTTATTATTTATTTCAATCAAATTAAAGTTAAGAATAATTGAACCAATTATTAAATAGTAGTCATCATGAGAGCGATATCCGAGCTCTTAAATCCACTTTATTACTTGTTACGATCCGCACACTTGCGGGATATAAAAATCGACAACACCTACATACTTGTCGGGTTTATCTATTAAAAAAAATATGAAGCTAAGAAAAGCGTTAAGGATCTACAAGCTATGATAAAAACTAAGTTCGAAGCCGAAGCCCAAATTCTCGGAATAGATATTGGATGAGAATACATTATTGAAAATGATATTATCTACCAATCCTCATGCATGAATTCTCCATGGCAAAATGGATTACAGAGAGACAGAAAATAGACGCTTGTTAGAAGTAAGACAGTTCTAATACTATATTGCGATTTGTGTATGACCAAATTTTTAAATTTTTTGATCCAAAACAGATTGAAATTTTTAGGAAAATATTATTTCCTTTACTTTATGTAATTTTATTGGAAAAATATTGTTTCCTTTATTCCATGTTATTTTTTTTTATCTTATTTTCATATTTGTGGTATTTCAAGGGTTTGGCATACACCCTTATAAATACTAGACCTTTTTTCACAAATTTTGTATTACTAATATTGTATTTATTTCCTCTATATCTGTCAATTGAATAAAATACCTCGTTCCTCTACCAATTAATTCATTACCTTTTATCTTATTGTTTGTTTGCAATTATATACTTCATATCATATTATATATATTATTTTGATTTTTTTTATTTCCCAACAAGCAAATATATACATACAAAAAAGATGAATATTACGGAATTTGAGAATGACCAAATACACCGTGTAGTTTCGAGAAAATGATGATTAATTAGAATAATATAGTCTTGAAGTTTCAAAAATAAATAAATGAATAGCCTTGCAATGTAAATTTATTGGGATATATAAATGCACTTTGAATTATTGCACATTTTAGCTTTGTTTTGTTTGTTAGTGTCAAAATATGAAAAAATCTAAGTTCATAGATGTACGAAAGTTCAATGGAATAATATACATATAGAGTACTTACAAAAGACTTTGAATATGAGTTTAAAGGCTATCTTTACTCAAATCCAATTAAGTAATGTTCTTGGTATATTGCCAGAAAAAGGGGAAACCAACTGCCCTACACAGATTTGAAGAATCTTTCTTCAAAGTTAATAGTCTAATTTTTTTCAATCATACTGGGGTGTTAGAATTATTTTGACATCTCAGCTGACATACATTCACAGTCAAGGTGGGCGAGGTGCCATTTATTACATTTTTTATTCACATGAGGTCAGCGCGGGTCCCATGCCACTGTGAGAATCGATCACCTAGGTGAGCAAAATTCATTTGTCACACTGACTTTATTCAATTAT